TTTCTTACCCGTTCGCTTTTTTCTTTATGTCTTTCTATATATATATATATATATATATATATATATAGAGGGCACCCCTCTGTATTTTATATCCTGACACTGTCTTTCTTTTCATCTGCGTGTTCTTGAAATCTCAACTTCGAATGGGTTCATTTCTCAGAAATTACCGAGATTGCGATTAAGACGAGAGAGAGAGAGAGAGAGAGAGAGAGATGGATTTTCTGGCAAATTTTATTCCAAAGAAATAATAAGTCCAAATCAAAATTGTTTAGACTTCATTTCGCATCAATTTCAACGCAATTTCATTTTTCCGCAACTCTGAACAGTCACGCGCGATAGCGTCTCTTTTATTTATTACCAATGGCAATTGATAATAATAATTGAAAAGATTCGCAAGGTATATCACAAACACATCTCTATGCAGTCGGCTTTATTTCTTAGCGCAATGAGTCTCTTACGCGTCTCACGAGTCCGCCAGAAAATTCCGAAGAACCAACTGAGATCGCATTACACCGATTTACATTTATTCATGACTTCAGCGTGATAATCTGATCTCTCTCAGGCCTGCGACGCCAAAGCTCCTTCGCGCGGCCGCGTGCGTTTTAGGAGTAAGGATGTCTAATTCGATCCCCGTAATCCTCTCACGAGAGACAACGTTCGCGCGACGGGGTGCTGCAAAACTTACTGCAGGAAAGCAGTTAAGAGTGGATTGACTTTTTATGGCCTCTCGAGGACTAAGCCCGCGCGCGCGAACGAATATCACCCGCTTCAAGGCGACCTTTTATCGAAACAGTTTCTTTTTATTGAATGTAAATAATAATTGTTTGCGTGTAGTTATACAATGCGGTCAATTCGGGCGATTTGAGAGGATACGAAGGTTTCAACGTAGCTTTATTTTAACGGCGGATGTTCCCGCGTACTTTATTGCGTTTAGAACAATCTCCGAGTTATTAGTTGAAGAAACTGCATAACAATTACAAAATGAAGCAAGATAATCTCTGATATCGGTAAGATATTTGTTTTTCTATTTATTGAAAATTGATAACTTAAAAATCATTTTATAAGTATTTATGCAAATTAGTCAAACTGTATGCGACGGCAACGTTAATGGTCCGCTTATATTTTTAAATGTCAATATGCCTGAACTATTATAATCATTTGTGGAAATTTCATATTTTTAAGATAAATGTTGAGAAATGAAAATTGAATTGTCAAAAGAAGTTGTCAGTTTAAAAGTTTTTCCAAGAAAGAATATTAAGATTTGGCTAGTTATTGACCAAAATGAAAAACATTCCGATATGT